CTTACCCAAAAAAAAAGTAGCTGTGTAAGGTAGTGCAGCGTTGTATCTGATTGCTAAGGATGACTTAACACAAAAGCATACAGTCATAACAAAAAAGCAAAAATACAATCCAGGTAATAAGGAATAGGGAACAATTCTCTCATGCTATCTCAAATAATACAGTCATAACACATGTAAGCACTGGTGCCACTTCGTAGCTTCAGAAACAAGAAAAGCAAAAATACATTCAGTTTGCAAGCTACCAAGACAAACTTTATAATTTAGAACCTTTTTCCTCAACCAGCGAGGCCGTCAAATAGTAACCTAGAAGGTATTCAAAAATCACATTGCCGCGAGAGCATAGTGAAAGCAAAGCTGAAGTAGCAGTTAATGTCCAAAGTCACACAAATGCAGCATTAAATTGCTACTCCCTGTGTGTATATAAATTGCTACTCCATCTCACAGAGCATTAAAATGTTCCTAGCTATGCTTTTTTTTTGGAAGAACACATCTCATATGAAACCTAAAGAATTAATACCTAACTATGAAAGACACAACTGCAGGCATTGTTTTGGTCACAGATCGTAAATCCACTAAATCACGTATTACAGAAAAACACATTCTGCTGCTACTGTTCTACACAAGGAACTGAAAAAATAATGGCAACAGGAAATTAGGAACAATATGCAGGTACAAACATAGCATCACATGCAAGATATCACAAGCAAGAAATGGCATCAAGAAAACTATTCATTGGTCAATAGCACAGCAAAGAACTTAGCAACACAACAACAGAGAGTGGAGTGGGAGGGAGACCAAGCCGGACCTAAAAAAGAAAGTGCCCTAGTCGAGATGGTGTTGAGATCTTGGAGTAGATAGCACCGCAGATCCTGATCTTGGAGGAAATAGCAGCATAGATCCTAGGAACACAGTACCATACTAGCAGGTTCAAACATCCCAGTGTCGTACTAGCAGGTTCAAGCAAAACAAGAGGGGGAGAAGGGAATTGAGAGGAGGAGATCCGCACCTTAGGACCCAAAGTTGCCACCGTCTCCCTCCAAGCCGGTAGGAACTGATAACGCCGCCGCCCGTCGCCGCAGTGTACTGAAACCCTAACAAGGGAAATCGGCTGAGGAGAAGGGGAGGGAGGAGGGGATGGGGCCGAGGAGGACTGGGGAAGCGGAGAACATACCTTTTTCAAGCACGAGCGGTGGCGGAGTCTCGTGCAGTGGGAGAGAGGCTCACGACTCGCGAGTGCGAGTCCCGGCCTCGGGTGAAGACAATTCCTTCTCCCTTAGATTGAAGTGGATCGAGCGGGCTTTTCTTCAACCCGGCGGCACCCAAATGCAATTTTGTGCAGCCCCGGCGTGGGTCGGGTTCCATCAAAGGTTAGGATCCTCCCACAATCCCCGTCGATCCAAGCCCATCCAAACGAAGCCTAAAGGTGTTGCTCACCGTAAACTCCATATCCCCAACACCAAACCAATGATGAAAAACCACAAACCCTAAGGAAGTGTTTAGATTCCTTGTGCGCCGATGGCGTCATGTCACTGGCTAAGGCTAACAATTTGGTAGATGCTCGCCTATATAGTTTCCCCAGCAAGCTTGCTCGCCTGGGTGAGGAAATTCTTGCCCGTGTAGCCATGCTAGATTGACTCTCCCAGATCGACATCATGCTACCGCATCAACCTCCATCGTCGCTGGATTGAGGTTCCTAGAATGAATTGAGCTCTACAGTTGTCAGATTAAATTAAGCACGCCAACATCGAATCGATGCTTCCCGTCATTGGATCAAGGCTCACCAAATCGATCTCAATTGTTGCCAGATCGAGCCACATTGCGAGGTGCGATGAGTAATGGTAATAAAGGAAGCAAACGCCCCCTTGGAAACTTACCTTCTTTGGCCGATGAGGTGAGGATAGCAATAGCAAAGGAAGAAACACGCTCTAAACCTAACCCTTCTTCTTCAACTCTGGCTAATGAGATCCAACCACTAGCATGCCTTAGACATGGGATTGAGAGAGTAAGAGAGAGAAGAGGGAAGAAGAGGGAACTGACTTGCGTCCCCTGCCGACGACCGCCGTCGCCGTTGGTTGAAGTTGTCACGCAGGATCTGAAAGAGAGTGAGGGAGGGTGTTCACAAGGGAGAGGAGGTAGTGGCTAGGATTCACGAGAGAGAGTATGTTTTCTTGCCATATTTATAAATGGCTACTCTTGAGATTTCATTTTTATTAACGGTCCTATATAGAACTGAAAGGGGAGAGGAAATCGGTGCATGCGAAAAGACTTTATTGCCCACCTCTCCAATCCCTTCACTTAGCACGACCTGTGGTGACCTTGCACATACAAAGTGCACCAAAATAATTCGTCGCAAGGCACACCAATATTAATTGTTAGGTGATCGTTGCAATAGTGGAATGAGGTAGTAGATAAACAACACAGTGAAGGAATTCAAACGAACTAGTACCACTACATAGTGTCATTATCCCATGATTTTGCCTAGCTAATCGCTAAACTGAGTAATCAATTGTCATCATAACTAGCATTATGTATCGGTAGTCATAGTCTCCTCCGCCACCGCCACCGCACTCCTCAATATCTGGTGAGGAGCTGCAAGGATTGTTTCTCGTTTAGTCTAGTCGTAAGTTGGCTTCATGGTGACAAAGATAAAAAGAAAAATATTTTGTTTTTATAAAAAAAAAGATAAAAGATACGAGGACGAACTAGGTTCGAAGAGAATACAACAACTGTTCCCCGACAACGCTGCCAGAAAGTTTGTTGGTATTTCTTAACATGTACAGAGTTAATCCACAAGCGTACGGAATTACCGTTTTAACTTAAGTAGTAAGTTTATAGATTAAGCGCGGTGCTTAGGCTATAGATTACCTGTGGATACGGCTAGGCCTCCGAATAGATTGTGGTAGTTGGCAAGTGGTGATAGCCTTGTCCATTCTCTGTATTCCATCACAATAGATTTAGTTATTAAAGCGTAGGGCTCGTAGTAGACTTTGTCTAATTAACCCTCCTGGTTGGTAGGTGGGCTGTGCCCATGTCATTAAACACGGATTGGAAATCTATCATTACTATTTGCAATATTGGAAGCTTCTATTAAAATTGGCAACGTACTTAAATTAGCAGTTTGAGCCCGTCACAAACCGCAACGCAAGAGAGGTGCCGGCCGGGCGGGCGGCATCCACGGTCCACGCCACCTGCGTGAGTGCATTTGGAGTTGGAAAACACGCCACCGTGCACACAGACACAGTAGATATTCACAAGGCACGTCAGACAAGGCGAACAAACTAGGCATCTCTCTTCATCCTGTGATGGAGAATCCAATACACTGGCTAGTGCCGTTCACAGGCTCAGTAGCCAGTATCAATCTTAATCTCAGTATAAATATTCCGCGGACTGCGACTACAACGGGATATATACATCTTTCGTCTCACACACAAATAGAGCCGATAAATCGTGTGCGAGTGCGAGCTAGCTCCCATGGCGGCAACCAGCCGGAGCAGAGAGGAGCGGTGGAGCCTCGCCGGCAAGACGGCGCTCGTCACCGGAGGAAGCAAGGGGATCGGGTAACTACACATACATATCCATGTCCACGCATGCGCGCCTCATGCCTGCCTGCGTACATGCACGTACATACGTTCAGTCGCTGGGTTACTCATGGTTCTGAGTTCTGACTGACAGCCGCGCGATCGTGGAGGAGCTTGCGGGGTTAGGGGTGCGCGTGCACACTTGCGCCCGCACCGCCGCCGACCTTGACGACTGCCTGCGCGCGTGGGCCGCGGACGGCCGGCTGTCGGGGCGCGTCACGGCGTCCGTCTGCGACGTGTCGGTGCGGGGCGACCGGGAGCGGCTGGTGGCCGCGGCGCGGGCGGAGCTGGGGCCCAAGCTGGACATCCTCGTCAACAACGCCGGGCAGACCATGTTCCGCGGCGCCACGGAGACGGCGCCCGGCGACTACGCGCGCCTCATGGCCACCAACCTCGAGTCCTGCTTCCACCTCGCGCAGCTGGCGCACCCGCTGCTCGTGGAGGCGGGCGGCGCCTCGGTGGTGAACGTGTCCTCCATCGCGGGGCTCGTCGCGTACCCGGCGCTGGCGGTGTACTCGGCGACCAAGGGCGGGCTGAACCAGCTCACGCGCAGCCTCGCCGCCGAGTGGGCCGGCGACGGCGTGCGCGTCAACTGCGTCGCGCCGGGCGGCGTCCGCACGGACATCTCGAGCAACAACGGGCTGAAGCTGGACCCGGAGACGGAGGCGAGGATGGTGGCGGCGGAGGAGGCGCGGGTGCCCATCGGCCGCCTCGGGGAGCCCCAGGAGATCGCGTCCCTCGTCGCGTTCGTCTGCATGCCAGCCGCGTCCTACGTCACCGGGCAGGTCATCTGCGCCGACGGTGGCCGCACCATAGCTGCATAGGGGGCATACGGCCTTGCTAGCTGTACTACGTACGTGCCGACTCAACAAACAACGGCCCTGCCTTTGTATCGACGAAACTGCTCGTATGGTATAAATCTGCTCGTTGTATTTCCATCTTGCAATGATTATTTTCAATTTGTCATACGAAATTAATGGAACCGCTTCATCATGGAATCAAACGACTCGTTGTGTACGGTGTACCCTTCTCTCCCAAGAACTTCATCAACAAAGTGCGTGCGGGGACGATGGCGACTGGTGATGGCGCGGCGTGCGCATGTCGTGTGCATAGCAAGCGTTACGGGAGCGCGGAGAACCGGGCTGACAGGCGAAGGCGTCCACAATCCGTTAACAATAGCGTTGGATTCCACCTACCACGAAATCCTATCGGATTGACGGAATCATCATCAACCAAAAACCAGAAAAATTCCTCTCAGGCTCCGTCAAACCGTTTGGCTTTCGGGTGACTCGGAATCGGAATCCGTTGTTGACTCGTTACATTAGTACATATATTGATATATACTTCGGCACAATAGCAGCCGTGACGCCGCATCTCGCACAGCCAAGCTCGCCGCAGCTCAAGGCGCCGCGCATTCAAGCAATGGACGAAGAACCAGAACCGCCCATGCCGAACGATCTGCAGATCACGTCCGAGACGACGAGGCTCGACCTGGAGCCCCGCCCGCCCGGCGGCGGCGGCCCGCGGCACGAGCTGGTGCTGCGCCTGGCAATGACGGAGTGCCACACGTGGCGCGGGATCGGGGGCCGGAGCGGGCGGGTCCGCCGTCCCAGGCGCATGAACAGGGAGATATGGCTGCCCCTGGACGACAACCCCTCCTCCTCCGGCGGCGGGCCCGACTACCTGCGGAGCGGCGACGACTGCCGCCGCCTCATCGGCCGGGCGATCAAGCACAGCCTCAGGGAGGAGGAGGAGTACCGCTACCTGACCCCGGCTTACTGGGACAAGGCCGTGCCCCGGGGCGTCGAGCGCGCCCTCGACGTGGCCGTGCAGCGCGACGGCGGCGGCGGCGGCGCCACGTTCGAGGTGATCGTTGACATCAGCGTCCGCTTCGAGTTCGTGTACTGCGAGGCCAAGGCGCTGCTGCTGTTGTGCGCCGAGAACGACGGCGGTGACCCGGCCGGGAGGAGCGGGAACGGCGGCGACGGCGAGGCGCCGTCGTGCTCCATCTGCTTCGAGGAGATGTCGCGGGAAGCGGACGAGGTGACGGACCTGCCGGGGTGCACGCACGGCTTCCACTCCTGGTGCATCGCCGCGTGGTTCCACAAGGCGTCGACGTGCCCGGTGTGCCGGCGCGATCAGTTGCAGTATCTCCCGCCAGATTACCGGGATCTCCATGACTCGATGGCCTTTGATCCTGACAGTTTGCCAGACTATTTGTAGTAGTCGTTTGATTCGTTGTCGTATGATTCAGGCATGTGATTTACTACCAACAACCGCGTGACACTAACTTATATACATCTGATTTGAGTTTGAGGTATCATGTTCAATTCCAATATGATTCAAACAAGAACATGCTACTGTCTGTGTATGATCCTCGCTAGAGCTTCCAGTAGAGGGAGCGCGGTGGAGGACGCCGGAGACGAGCGCCCAGAAGAGGATCTGGGCGAAGAGGACGTAGAGGAGGATGCCCACCCTGGTGGAGTGCCACACCTTCACGAACACGTGCTTCCTCACCCAGTAAACCTGCAGCAAGTGACGTCGCATCCGAAGCATAAACAACGGAACAGGCCGGTGGGGTCTCCTCCTTTGTTTATTAATAGCCCACGCTTATCGTTCGAATATTTGTCTTCTCACCACGAATCAGCGATGGGGTAGCTTTTATTTACGTGTTGTTGGTGCCCTCTTATTTCAATGAACGAGCAGGCACAGAATGTGTTTTTCCAGGAAGTCACAACAAATCAGACGCAGAAGCGAGACACTGACGGACCAGGTGCAGCCGGCGGTGACGCAGATGTAACTGCTGCTTCATATGTCATTAAGCGTGTTGCGACCTCTGCTTTCTGACATGACACCATAATATCACCTTCATATGGACAAGCACATGCCCATAGTGAACACCTATGATCGTACTCAACACCGCAGAAAGTGAGCTGCGGAATCGACAAAAGCAGTACTGTTAGCCTGAATTGGTAGCCATTCAGCAGGCCAATACAAGCACATTTACCTTTAACATTCAGTTGCCACATACTAATGCTGCTGTAGGAACTTAACTCTGAATATGCTACGGTAACAGATGTAGCATGACAGGTACCTTAGTATCCCTTCAGGTTCGAATGGCGCAACACACCATGCTGGGGCATCGTTTCTGAAAGGACCCTCATGTGGGGAATCATCAGTGCAGGCCTGCATGGACCACAATAGTACTACTGAATTAAGCACTGAAAATAACAGTAAGCACCAGCAAAGCTTTGTTTTGTCAGGAAACACAAACCCTGTGCCTTCTCCATGCTGGTTTCTGGTACATGTAATTGATCCCAAGGATTTTGCGGTCAATGTAACCTACAGCGTTGCAAGGAGGGTCTAGTATCCCCCTTGTACCACACGTCACCTAGACATTAGGGAACACTGCAGATGAGTTGTAGTATTTCACAAAAAAGGAAAAAAACAATGGTAATTAGCTAACTTTCGGAACGCGAGAAATGGAGTCCATCAGCATCAAAGACTGGAGGAACCACGTACTGTTAAAACTTTCCCATTGTTTGGGCTGTCAACATTTCGCACTCTGAATTCCCAATCAGGAACATAAATACCATAGACAAGGGACAGGTAGATCACTAGAATGCAGCATGCAACAATCCTTGCAAACGCACACACACAACACGTTGTTAGTGTGTCGAAACGAAACCTTTCAGAACTTGAAAGAAAACCAAACCTCGCATACCATTGGGAAAAATACATTCTGAATATAGAGAAGCCTGAGCTTGACTGATCCTGAATCTTTGCATCTTTTGTAACAATCTCTAGAACTGCAACCACCAAATACGCAAGAGCGATCCTCTGCAGGAGCAAGAACCAAATTACTTTGAATAGCACGCATCCCCTTTTTTTTCAGGCTCAGAGATGAGGAAAAATTACATTCAGATTCGTACCTGGAGGATTCCTCCCCATCTTACGTGCTTCATGTCGACTCCATAAGTCAGTTCGTCCGGAGCATGGGAGTAACCGCCTGAACACAAAACACGTTCACCAATTGCTAATCAGCTTTGTTGCACAAGCCTATAGACTTGCAAAACACATTTCATTCACGATTCGAAGCGCAGGCGTATATATACAGCAGAATAACCTTGCAATAGGATGCCCCAGAACAGCAGCTTCAGTGTTCTTATGACTACCCTTCTCACGGCTCGGCCACGGTCCGGGATCCTCTGTTACATTTGTGATGATGATTTGTCCCAAGACAAGAAAAAGGTTAGGCCAACGAATACGAAACAGTGACAGCAGTCAGCAGCTTTCAGTTTGCGTTTCAGTTGATCGGTGTCCGTGTCGAATTCAGACTCGACCGATGGCGTCGTAGGTGGCGTGTAAGAGAAGAGATGAATTGAAAGGGACAGCAATCGATGCAGACAGGACATGAACGTGAGACGAACATCATGGATAGGATAGGATGGACGGACGGACCTTGAGGGAGAGGGAATGGCCATGCCGACGATGAAGAGGAAGAAGGGCATGACGAAGTCGGCGAGGTTGCAACCGTTCCACGGCGCGTGCCCGATGACCGGCCACTCGCCGCCGGCGCCGTCCACCAGTATCATCAGCTGCATATAAAAGAACACGCAAGCGCGCGCTGGCACGTCATGCACAAACACCGAACCCTGGCGAGTGACAGACAACGCAGCACTCGCTGCTGAGTGCTGATCTCACGAATGCAAGCATTCAGGCCCCCAGAATTTCAATACGAAACCTCAGTTTATGATTCCTGTCAGTCAGGAGTAGCAACCAGGGGGAGAAGGAAAAAAAAATCCAAACATTTGTACCCCCACCGATCAATCCCTGACTTGCAATTGTGAAAACTTCAGAAACCTACTGTTAATGACTTTGGCCACCATGAACAAGACTTCATGAAGGAGGTGTTAGTTTGCTCTCTATCAATTGGCCCAACGGCCAATCGGACCCCTTGACCGCGTCCTGATCGGGGATACATAACCGACTACTAGTCGGCGAGCTCTTGTCACACAGCGTTATAAGAGAGAGGTGGGAGCCGGGGCGCTAGAGAAGAGGTTCGACGCCGTCACTGGACCCTACCGAAGAACCCCAGAAGCCCCTCCGATCGAGGGCACACTGCAAGTGACGGGAAGCTCCGCCGGGCTCACCGCCGTCCTCTGGACACTACCAGACTGCACTCTGTTCTTCCTCTTCTACCTCCTTTGTCAATCCCGAAGGTATGGATCTCTCTCTCTACTCTGTCTCCCTCTCCCGAGTCTATCTCCCTCTCCCGAGTCATGTTTCTAGATCGTTTTGAACCAAACAGAATTGAATCAACCCGTAGATCTACACCTAGATGATCCTAAGGACTTAACAATAGTATCAGAGCCATCGATCCAGTGTGTAGATCGTGTCAGGGGTAGCAGTCGAGACCGATCCGATTCAGGTCGAAGCAGAGGGTTCCAAACCCTAACCCTAGAAGGGGAAGAACAACAGAACAAAGAATGTTCGATTCGGATCGACCCACACCCGAACCCTAACTCGCGTAGATGGAACCAGGGAAGAGAAATAGTAGCAGTGGGTTCGGCCAAACTCTAACTGGTTGACCAGAATCCTAACCCTAACCCTAACCCAAATCGGACCAGCTCCGAGAAGAAGAGAAAGAAGAATCAAACAGAGACAAGAAGAAGGGAAAATGGGAAGGGCTAGGGAGGCGGCTTACCTCGCTGGCCTCCACTCACCGGAGCACTCCGGGAAGGATCTCTGCGCCTCTGCTCCATAGCCGTGCTAGGGCGCCGCCGCTAGGCCGCTCGACGGCGGTGTGCTCACCCGCTGGGGCTCTCTGCGCTCACTCACTCGGTGGCCGCTGCGCTCTGCCACTCGTCGCGCTAAGAGAGAGGAGGGGGAGAGAATCGAATGACCTAGGGTTCGGGAGGAGACGACGCCGCGTGGGGTTTTGTTCGCCCGAGATCACCGCGTGGCCGTCGAATGAAAATAGACGGCGCAGATCAACCGGTCCGAGTTTAAGCCCAGGCGGGCGCGAGCACTGGGCTGCTTTGCCAGCCCAAGCCCAGGTTGAGTCCATTTCCTCTTTTCTTTTTTTTTTCTTTTTCTAGTAAATTATTATTTCCTGGGAAATGATTAATGGCTCAAAGAAAAATTAGTAAAGAGAATTTTGCTGTGGGTAAAATTCATAAATTATGTTTAAGTTTCCGCTGTAAAGTTTAATGTTGATTAATCTTCTAATGAAATTCGAACCAACAGGAGAATTTAATTTGAAGAATAGTTATATTTGGTAAATTATGATTATGTTTATCCTCTAATTAAATTGGAAACAATAGGAAAATTTAATTAGAGAAGTAGTCCGTTTTTTGTTCAAGTAAGATTATGGTATTGTCATTTTCTGACCAACGTTGATGATGATAATATTATAATAAATTTAAGTTTAAAGTTTAAATCTCTGATAATTTTTACACCAATGTGGTCAATTTTTCAGAGAGTAGATTAGGACCAAGGAATGCTCCTGAACTAAAAGAATGTATTTTATTAACATACTTCTGCTGCGATGAAGTGTTCATTATCTTCTAATTAAATTCAAATCAACGGGAGAATTTAATTTTGAAGAGTGGTTATATGTATTTCAAGTTGATTTATGAGTTTTATACATTAATTCTATTTTCTGCCCAATGGTGGTGTAGAATTGATGCAGAAGCACCTTGTTTATTTAACCGACGAGTTCACTCAGCTGTATGTCAACGGGCTGCAATGCTGGGGTATGTGAATGAAAAGACTTAAGTCAAGCTAGTTCAGGATAATTTTTTGTTAGTTTACTATTTTCTAATTAAATTGGAACCAACGGGAAGATTTAATTGAAAAATAAAGTATAACTGAATGTTTTAGTCATCATGGCTAAGTTTTCGTATAGATGTATCCCCCAAGGAGAGAAGTTTTGGCATGGTACTTATGCTAGTCAATCCTGCATGGCGGAAGAAGTTTTATGATGATTCACATGTTTCGTATTCCGCATAGCGGGAGAAGTTTGGGTAGTTCTTATGATGTCCTAGTATTGACCTTGGCACAATAGAAATATATCGTCATGATCAATACTAACCAAAGGATAAGAAAAGATGCAAGCGTGACTTATAAAAGTACTGCTAATGAAAGACCTCGTTTAGTGCTTGAAGTGAAATAAGGAAAGTATACTCCTAAACGGATCAAGGAATAACTTTGTTTACATGACATAATCATTTGAATGAAGTAAGTTATATGTTTTTTCTCGTTCATAGGCTTTCTAAATAGTTCTCGAAATTATGGCAATAAAGTTCATGTCATATTTCGAGGGTGAGAATATTAACATCAATTAAGAAAGATATTTTTCATTAAAAGTGAGATAAAGATTAATTAAGATGAATGCGACCGTTGGAGGAGTACAACGGTCATAATAATTATACCCCTAAGCAGAGAAAAGCTAAATTCCTGTCAGAAGGATCTTTTAAAGTTCCGATAGAAAGATAGCGTAGCCAGCCTCAAAGGTGTTAAGGTGGTGCTTAAAGCACCATATAAGATTTTAACAGATTAAACACAAAATAAGATATTTAAAGATACACCATCTTTAGAAAAGATGAGAAGATCTGGAGAGCATGATATGTAGAGGTATGTAGACACCTAAGACTTGAAGAGAAGAGGGACTGTGTGCCCACTCCAGTGACTCAAGAGCAACAAGTTTCTCAATACCTGTTGATGTTGTATGACTAATACAACATCTGTTATTAGATTTTCGAAGAAGATAAATAATTTTAACAAGGATCTTGTAATACAGGAGCCTGTAGAATCAATTGCCTCTTGGCAATGAAGAGCAACAACAGCTCCGTATAAAAGTACCAGTAGCTGAGGCCCTAGAAGGTCTCAAAGAATTAATAAACCAGTTTTTCTGATGACTATGAAGTCTATGTTAGTAGAGAAATTTAAACAGAGAAGATCCCACCTCATTTGAAGAAGCCATGAGAAACGTTTGCTCATTTAAATGGCAAGAAGCTATGGAAGTTGAAATAAATTCAATGAATACTAACGATGTTTGGGACTTATAAGTAATTCCTAATGGAGCCAAAATAGTATGCTGTTAATGGGTCTACAAGACAAAATATGACTCCAAAGAGAATGTAGAGAGATATAAAGCACGACTTGTAGCAAAAGGCTTTACACAAAGAGGATGAATAGATTACGATGAGAGTTTTTTCTCCAGTCTCATGCAAGGATTCTTTAGAATTGAAATTGTGTTATTGGCACATTAAAATTTGGAGTTACATCAGATGGATGTAAAGACGTCATTTCTCAATGGGGATTTGTACGAAAAACATTTACATGGCACAACCCAAAATGTTTTATCATAAAAGAAAAGAACATATGGAATGTCGCCTGTAAAAATCCATTTATGGATTAAAAGTAAGTCTCTAGACAGTAGTATTTGAAGTTGATGAAACAATGAGAAAGTTTGGGTTTTAAGAAAAATGAGAAGAACAATAGTGTTTATGTGAAGTTCAAGAATGAAAAATTCTTTTTCCACATCCTGTGAATAGATAACATTCTATTCACTAGTAGTGATGTTAATCTGTCATTGGAGAAGAAGAAGTTTTGTCCACAAGTTTCAATATGAATGATCTTGGTGAAGCGTCATTGGTTCTATGAATCGAAATTCACCAAAATAGAAGAAAATGAGGTATTAGGACTATCGCAAAGACATACTTAGAAAAGATTCTAAAAAAATAAAGTATGCATGCAAGTAAACCTACGTCTGCTCCTATAGTCAAGGGTAATAGATTTGAGAACTTTAAGTGTTTCAGGAACCGATATGAGATCGATCAAATGAATATGGTTCCATATGCTTCAGCTGTTGGAAGCTTGATGAGTGTACAAGTACATGTAAGAACTTACCCTGACGTAGTTTATGTATCCGGAATATTTTGGCAGAAGTCCAGTCCAGATATAGATCACTGAAATAGAGATGAGAATGCCTTGCAATTTTGTAAAGTATCATAGGCCTCATGCTGAGTAAGAAAGAATAAGTACTCTCAAATAGTTGAGGGTACAAATGTTAAGTCATGGCGAGATGTGTAGTGAAATCCACAGTAGTTGGTAACACTTATAGTTGGAGTATTATTGTGGAAAAACTCCAAAAAAATAGTTGTGGTGTCATCAGTGATGCATACCATAGTATAGCTTGACATGGGGCTTAAGGACAGACAAAAAGAGGTTAAGGGAATTTGTAACCAGATTTAACAATGGTAGACAACAACAATAACCATTTAAAGTAAGTTAACTTCTAAGACAACAGGTCAAGTGTGCTGCTAGACATATTGACACTAAGTTATATGTTGTAAAGGAAAAAATCCAGAACCATTTTGAAAGTATTGAGCACATAAATATCGAGTAAATACTTGCGGATTCGCTTACCAAAGGCTAACCAGCCAGTGCGTTCAGAGAACATACAGTCGACATGGGTTTATGGGAAAACCTATGATTTCTGAATACTAAGGACCTAGTTGAGTATCTGTTTCAAAACAGAGAGGTGCATTGTAACTGTTAAATCTAATGGCAACTGACCGTGACGATGAGTCACGTTCTATGCACTGATCTATAATGGAATGGGAACATATAAAGTAAGTAAGTTAAGTTTAAATCATAAGGTGAAATCAAGAGGGAGAATGTTAGTTTGATCTCCACCAATTGGCACAACGGCCAATCGAACCCCTTGACCGCGTCCTGATCGGAGACACATAACCGACCACTGGTCGGCGAGCCCATGTCACACAGCGCTATAAGAGAGAGGTGGGGGCCAGGGCGCTAGAGAAGAGGTTCGACGTCGTCACTGGACCCTACCGAAGAACCCCAGAAGCCCCTCCGATCGCGGGCGCGCTGCAGGTGACGGGAAGCTCCGCCGGGCTCGCCGCCGTCCTCTGAACACTACCGGACCGCACTCCGTTCTTCCTCCTCTGTCAACCAAGTTATGGATTTCTCTCTACTCTGTCTCTCTCTCACGAGTCTATCTCTCCCTCTCCCAAGTCATGTTTTTAGATCGATTTAAACCAAACAGAATTCAATCAAACCGTAGATCTACGATCCTAAGGACTTAACAGGAGGGAGCAGGTCCGTACTCCGGAGAGAGTCACTTACCGCGACGGTGAGGCTGCAGAAGAAGTCGAGGGAAGCAACCCGCCTGCCCCGGCGAGGCGCCTGGTCCTACCAATTTATAGGCCCGGAGCGAAACCATTAAAATAGACCCTTAATACAACTCTAATGATATAATGATGTTTATAATAAGTGTAATACATACAAAAAAACATGTTTATCAAACAAATTATATATCTTACCTTAAAATTTTCATCTAACGTTTACTGATGCGAAGTCATTTCCTCCACAGCAATTATTGCCCACTCATCTGGATTTCTTGAAATGCTTGTATTACTCTTAAAAACTTCATCAATAGCTCCTCTTTGTGATTGTATCAAGTCATCTATCCTTCTCTTCTTTTTTCTTTTCTCACTTCACGATGCGTGCTTTTTGGACAACATAAGTTCACTGTAAATAGTAAATTTATATATGAAAAATATGTCATACTAGATTGAATCCAACGTCATAATAAAAAGGGTACCCTAATAAAAATAAGTGCTAGTAAATTACCAGGTCGAGGACTAGAGAAAATGATTATTCACTGCCCTAGCTGCACATCCCAAATCACAATTTCAGAGGAGTCCCAAGTGGCCAAGACGCCAAGTCTTGTATTCTAAAGATTAAAGATTGGAGACAAAGAAAAATTAAATATTAATTTAACATATATATTCTTGACATACATCAATCAAGGGCTTAGGGGCAATTGGTACCTCCCAGAACGCTCGAACGGAGAGACCGAGTGGGCCTGGGCGACGCCGGCGGCCGGCCGCCCGGTGGACGCTGGTCATTGCCGCGACGAACGGGTGCACAGCCGATCGGCGACGGCGATGCCACGATGCGCATCGGCGCAGGCTCGGAGGTTGAAGCGGGGAAGAAGCGAAGAAGCCGCGCGGCGGAAGGCGATGAACGAAACGACGCGGACGCGGAACTGCGGAGGCCAGGTCTACGCAACACGCAAGGAGTCTTGGGCTCCTGAATTTTTCTATGGGCCAGGGAATACTATACTATACCTTCACATATGGGGTTGGGCCCCTTGGGGTCGAGGGCCCAGTGCGGTGGCACAGCTCGAACCCCCCCAGGGCCGGGCCTCAGGCGCCTCTCGTTGGCGTAGGCCTCATCCGTGCCCGGACCGCTGCGACGGGCGGGCTCCTCCTCCGCGACGTCGCCGTGCGCCTTGAGCTCAACCACCTTTTTGCTGCTCCCGTCCATGGACGCTCGTGCAAGTAGCCAAAACCTGCGTGACGCAGACGGGGGGTCACGGGTGTATGTTTAAGAGATGGGAGGAGGATTCCGATTCCTTGAAGCAATCACTGCTCGCCTACGACTAGGAATGTTGCTGCTCGTGTGGGTTCTCAGTTCTCACTCTCACACGGCGAATGATTGAACCCACTGGGCACTTGGGCAGTGACAGGCTGACAATCTGACCGGCGGGGGAACGAACGGACAGTTTTTCTCTTCTTTTGGAAGGTTGCTCGGCTAAGGACGATTCTGACGTCGTTTTCCGATGGATGGATGCGACAAATTTGGGGATTGAGAGAAGCTTGGGTTTGTTTGGTTGCTTTGCTGGATGAGCTTGAGCTCGGTGCCCATCTCAGTCTCTGCTCTGACCCCATCTTAGGAGTCCCTCCGTTCCCTAGTAGACACTGAAACTTCAGCGAAAAGATCGGTTATTCCGGCTTGTCTATTTATGAACCTGAATTTTCGCCCCTGTTCATATCTGCTGCTGCTCCATGTGTCCAGAATCTTTTCAAGTTTTGCTTGATGTTATGACACCACACCAGTAAGCCATGTGAATTGATATGTTATTTTTTTTCTTGTAATAACACGAAGGCATAAACAGAACTAACCATGCGAGATAGCATGGTGTAGAAACAAACGAATGAGCAAAGCAAACAAACAAACTCGGCCGCGGCAGCAGCAGCAGCGACAAACTATAAAAAAAGGCTAGGCTAGTTCAGTCACTCACTCACGCAGCGCTACTTCAGAACCGAACCGGAAGACGAGCCCAAACAACGCAGCAACGCATGCGTGGCTACTGCGAGGAGGAGGAGGAGGCGGTGATCTTGGCAACGGCCTGCGCGGAGATGGGCGGGAGGCTGAGCGAGCAGAGGCTCTCCCAGGACGCGATCGCGTCGTCCTCCTGGCCGCTCGCGGCGGCATCCTTGGCGAAGGCCGCGTGCATCGACGCCACCACGCCGCGGGCGGCCTCCCTCGCCTCCGGAAGCCGGTCGTTCAGCAGCTCCGCCGCCACCTGCAGCAGGGCCGACATCCCGAACTCCTTCATCGCCTCGATGTCCTGTGTGCCAAACAAAGGAAGCTGTGAGTCAAGAACTGTGGCGCGTCGCGGGCTATGATCAGCTGCTGGCGTGGCGTGGGCGCGTGGCGTACCATCCGGGCGGCGCAGTGGGAGATGGCGACGGCGGCCTTGGCCCTGACCCTGAGGTTGGCGTGGTGGACGTACGCCTTGAGCTTCTTCAGCAGCGGCAGCGGCGGCATCGACGTCGCCATCGCGCGCATCGCCTTCTCGGCCTCCTCGCACACGAACCGCTTGTCCTGGGACGCCTTCAGCAGGAGCTGGAGCAGCTGCGAACGGAGACGAGCTCAGTAAGTCAGCAGCTGCGAACTGGGATCTGTAACTGTCCCCTTGAGGGTAGGGGTGCTAGTGCGAGGGCGACACGACACGTACCAGCTTGTCGAAGGCGACATCGGAGACGGAGGCGAGGAGGTTGCCGAAGGAGCTGAAGATGTCGGCGCAGGCCATGATGGACGTCTTGAGCACCGCGCTGCGGGGGCTCTTCATCGTCTTCACGACCGCCAGCACCACCTTCTCTCTGCCGCCGGATCAGCCACGCGAATTAAAACGAGTGACAAAAAAGTTTCCGAAATCGAAATCGGACGAGAATGTAAACAGCACCAAATCAAACTCACAGGATCGGGTTCAGCAGCGCGGGGTGGTGGATCGCGAGGCGGCGCGCGTCGTTGAGCGCCTCGCAGGTCCTGACCCAGTCCTTGGAGTCCAGGTCCGCGACCAGCCCCGCGGCCTTGGCCTTGGGGCTGGCCGCCGCCGCCAGCTCCTCTGACGGAATGTACTCGACGGCCTGCTCCGCCGCCGCGGCCGTGGCCCTGGGTGCCGCGTTCTCGTCGTTCCCCTTCTTATTCTTGCCGCCGCTCCCGGGCGAGGCGACCTTGACGGCGGCGGCGGCGGGGACGCCCACCTTAGCCACCTTCTTGGTCCGCTCCTCGACGGCGACGGGCATCGTGTTGTCGAGCGCGCGGAGGGCCATGGGTCGCTGTCACTGGTCGCGCTCGCTCGCCAGAGTCGGACTCGCAGGCGGATGCGGTTGTTGGAATGGTGCTGGAGGATGGGCGGCGGCGGCGATTGATGATGCTAGTGGAGAATGGGGGAATGGAAGAAGATGAGGCGGAGTTGGAAATTTTAAATGCGGAGGGTGGGGAAGGGGCGGCTGTGTCTAACGGCTATAAAATGTTTAAACTCGCGTGGTGAACGTTGGGAGCTTGTGATTGTGATGCTGCTGCCTTTCTACCGTTGCCATAAATTCTTGTAAATAAACGATTTCAAAATAATGCCGTTGCCATAAATTCTGGTAGATAAAATAAACGATTTTAAAATAAAAGAAAAACAAGCAAGAGTACAAGATTGAGTTATGGCCCATGAGTTCTGCAGTTTTTGGTCTATTTGAATTCATGCCTAGCGCTGCTGAACCGCTGAAAAAGTAAAGACATGAACAGTCACAAAAAGTTCCTGTTAGGTCCTGTTTGGATTCATGCCTAACGTTAATGAAAAACTTTTCATACCTCCATTCCTCTTAATGAAAAAAAAATGGTCTTCCCTCTCAATCAATGGGGAAAAAAAAGTGCCAAATGTGCCGTAACAACACGGTGGCGGAAGATGAACAGTGACGAAACTTCAGAATTTTGGTAACAGCCTATTGTGTCGCGTTTGGGTAGATGACGATGATCAGGTACACGTGTACCAAAACCTCGAGGTCTCCTATAACTTGAAATACCGTGTTGCCCATTCCTCCTCTTGCGTAGATGGAAGATGACATCCCTTGACATTTACCTAAAGTGGAATCATACGCCTAGAGCACAAGTGGCACTTAGGGCATGTTTGGAGGGGCTCCGGCGGCTCCGGAACCCCAATCCCAGGCTCCTCCGGCTCTTCACTGTTTGCTACAGGCCGCACAGTGATGCACAGGGCATGGGCAGGTGGAGCCAGAGCCATGCGGAGCCGAGCCAAACGAGTCCTTACCACCTCTGTAAGACATTGTACAGTCGACACATAACCCTAATTCCAATTTTCATGGACTCCATGAACTGAGTGAAATTGGAACCTAACAAAACTGTCCGCAGCTCATATCTGTACAAAGGGAGGGTGTGTCCTCAGTCAAGCAGTGCTCCATCGGTGTGCAGCATTGTTGGCACGAGAAATCCACCAGGTGTTCAGAGTAGTAGCCGATTGTTGGAGTTCCCTGTAACCTTCCTCTAAGAACTTGCCATTCTTGATCAGGCCACGCGCAGCAAACCCCATGAACTCAGAAGGATCCACGTGACGCTGGAACCAGTGAGGAACAGCAACATTGTAAGAGGTTGATGCACTTGGGGCTGGAGACACGCTTCGTTCCACTTCCAGGTGCGGTTCTGGCTCGGCTTCCTTTGATGGCACTTGGACAGCTGAAGGTTCTGATGACAGCATGGAACTCCCTATGCCAAACCCTTCCCAATCAACCTGCTGCCACAGCCGGTATCCATCATCACTCACGTTGTGGTTTTGGAGCTCAGATCTCTGCTCTGCAGCAAGTCTGTCAACTTCGACCTTGAGTTCCTGCAATCGCTGCCCAATTCTTTCTGTTGCTTTGTCGTACAAGATCCCTCTAGAGATATGTTGGGTGTCATCACAGTTGTCAATGAGCAGGTCATCAAAGCTGATTGGGTCACCCACAACCACAATCACCTAGAAAATCAAGTAAATGATTTAGCAAATATTTTATGACAGCATTTGATGAGTCGTGTAGGTTAGGGGCACACACCCTTTTTCCTGCTCTGGGGATGCGTTTTCCAACAGGCATTATATCCTGCATCCCAGTATGGACAAAGGGTATTACAACTGGAAGGCTGTCAGCATCCATTACCAATCTGGTAAAACAAGAGGGAATCAAACTAAATAAAACACAAAACTGATCAATAAGTAAGAACCTTAAAACACAAGGCTATAATGTATATGTATAAACAGAGTGCAGGTTTTGCTATGCGGACAGAAGCAAACTGATGGTGATCTGTGGTCCAGTATTCTTTAGAAAAAGGACAGTATAGGAGGGAAATAATTTTCTAACCTTCCAACACCTCTCTTGGCAGGAGCAATGGTTTTCCCTCCATCCCTTGAACGGCTTCCTTCAGGAAATATATGAACCCATCCACCACTGTTAAGCTTTGAAAGTGCCATATCCATTCCCTGAAAAAAGAAAAAAAAAAGGCTACAAGTGAAGAGCGAATCCAGTGATGCATCCAATTCAATGGTCCAAATGTAATCAATCATACTCCATGATTTTAGATCAGAAAAAAGATGACATGATATTCAAAGCATGAAGGAATTATAACATTGTATGATTGCATAAATGAGAAGAGGGCAAAAGGAAGTGCGTGAACCCATGCAGCAGGGAATACCAATATATTAATACCTTATTAGGGTTCACTATAGTACCTTAACTACCAGAGACTTTGTTATGCTTCTCATCTAATTACTAAACCAAGGAATTATCTAAGAATAATTCTCAAATCCACATATGCTAATTGTTTAAAAAATAGCACACCTCTGCCTGTTGCAATTTCCCTATTCAAAATGTAGCAAAGCCTGGTGTTGAATTTCATTATGTATTGCCACCGTTATTCCCCAGAAGTATAGCAGGAAAAAATGACAAGTGAAGGCACATAAGAGTATCTTTGCCCTTTGCAATTCCCAAGATGACACTACTCACTAAATTAAAATACTGATGCTTTCACAATATGAATTACGCGGATAAATCGGTTCATCAACATTAAAAAGTTTAGACCATACAGTCAAATTCTTGGTAACAATAAGATGGATACCTTTTGGTAGATGCCTTCACCACGAGAAACAGGTAACACCTTAACAGACCTGAAGAATGTAGACAAAACTGGATTTGTAAAGCAACGATCAGTCGCACACAGTGTCCATCTCAGCTTTTGTGCTTCCAGCATAACAGATGGTGGTAGAAGGGAGGCAATTACAAATGGATCATCCATTGCTGCCACATGATTGCTGACCTGAAAACGAAAATTACAAAGATAAAAAATTACATGACTAGGAGCATAACTGAAAACCTTTAGATTTACTAGCTACATCCCAACGATACGCATAAGAGTAATGTGTTGCAATAAAGATATTCCATACCGTTAGAAGAGCCTTGCCTTTAGGTCTCCCTTGTAATGCCTGATGAAGCTTCTCTGCACCATAAACCTGCACATCTTCAGAGTTTAGAAAAAGCGAAACAACTAGACCAGAGTACTCAAATGTTCTCTTGTTAACTAGGATACCTGAACAGAGTTAAGGCCATGCATAAAAACATAGCATGCATTGCCAATAAGAGGAACAGCCAATGCTTGAAGCGACCGGAAAATAACAGAGTCTTCAATCCCATTAACTTCTTTGCCCACTGATAAATAACAAATAACTCATCAGTACAATCTCCTTTTATTTTTATCATGAGATCATAATCGAAGCTTAGAACATAAGTTGTAGCAACCAGATTTTGCGTAGTTGCAGTTCCAATAGTCGAGACCGATACTAAATGTTAAAAGAAGATGTACACATTTATGTCCAGCGACCATTACAATACTGAAGTGGGCACACTAGCGTCAAGACGATCCAACAGTTGCGATATCAACTCACAGGTGCAAAACTGCCGCACACCACATTGAACCAAACTGGTGCAAAAAAAAAAAAACACACTTATCTATACCTCTCTCTGTAGAATCTCAAAGCACTGGACGAAGGCTTCGCCGCCGCCTCAGGAGATGTCTCCGTCGATGTGGAGCTCCGATCCGAGCCCCGGTCCCTCTGCAGCAGGGCCCGAACGCGATCCGACCACCGCCGGACCGCCTCAGTGGCGACACGGCCGTCCGCCCGCAGCCACAGCGACCGGTGGTCCACGGGCGCCACGCGGAACCTGTTGCGGATCTGCGTCCCCACCACCCGCGCGCGCTCCGCCCACGGAGCCCCGCCGCCGGCCGCCATTGGGGGCTAGGGTTAGGGTTCGAGTACGGCTCCAGCACTGGAGGCTAGCTGGGTTTAGCTGCTGACCTTCCAGAGGCGTCGTGAAGAGATTATTTTAGAGCTTCGAGCTTGCGATTGCTGCTGCCTGCTGCGTGAAATCGAATTTGGCGAAATTTTAATCGCGGTCTTGGGGAGGAAGGAAGAAGGCGCGGGAGGGAAAGGTGATGGGACCCAGGTGCAGAGGACGAGAGTCACCGGAAAATATCAGGGTGGGTCCAGCCTGATGCAATAGTTGGGCCCGGTGACAGTGAGAGGATGGAGCCGAGCTGTGATTGGATAAGAACTACTAGTAGCTCACAAAAGCGTCATCGTAGGGTCCGGTCCCAGGAGCTGATGGTGGCTCTTCATCTAGAAACATCCGAATGCATCCAAAACGGCCTAGGAATGCAAGAGATTTTTGCAATCATGCACTTCGACAAAGTTGGTGATCAGATGCCCAAACAGCAGAATAGATTGGGGGCATATGGATTCCTAAATTATGAGCAATAATAAGTTCACACATACGGACATATCCAATTTGATGTTCCCCAATGCATCGAACCTTCCACCGAGTGCGCCAAAACAATATCACACCACGAATACATAATAATTTGAATTGCATAGTTAAATACAATCAATATAAATAGACTTTGAGGTGACAAAATTAGGGCATGGAATCATGCAAAATTATGTGCAAGTTGAGCTCAATTCAATTTGATCTGCACTCAATCAAAGAAGTATCAATATCATGAAAGATTCCAGTCCCAGTCAACAAAAGAATCTGAAGGAACAGGAGGCAGACGGTTACTATTATCGTCATCCACGATGTTAGATGTGCTTATCAATCCACCATACCTCATGCTCGAATTATGTGAAGAGGAAGTGAAGTATAACGATTTTAGACGTTGCCATTACAACTATACAAGAAAAAGGATTTATTGGGTGTGATGCTTTTACCTAAATTCCACCGGAGCCCGGTCTTTTACCTAAATTCCACCCATGGAAATCAAACCACAATGAGGACCTTCAACCGATTTCTCAACATGGATCTCGTGAGAGTGTCTTGGGGAGCAGAAAGATTGAACAATCATATGATAGGAGGATGATCTTGATGTTTGAAAAGTGGTACAATACATTGATGTTCCCCATCTCATGATCGAACCTTCCACCGAGTGCACCAAGAACAAGAATACACAGCTGCAGTTAGAGAAGTCAGAGTAAAATTTGTTAAGCTGACATTGCATAGTTATAATGGATGTTTTTCTAATCAATATAAATAGACTACATTAGACTTCTCTGGGATAGGGAGATTGCTTGTGATAAATGATACACATTTGTGCAAGTCAGTTGTGTCCTGATCATGCGATTCATCAACTATGTTGGTGCTCTGCACTCAATCAAAGAAGAGTATCAATAAGTCATGAAAGATTCCAGTCCCAGTCAACAAAAGAACTTCCAGTATGAAGGCAGTATCAAGGGTGCAGGAACAGGAGGCAGAATCTTAAAAGCAGCGTGTGCACACTCAATTTACCAATGGCTTCTATGAATTTTCTCCAAAGGCAGTAAATCGGAAATAAAATACAGGGGATATCAAAGTGCCTAATTTCTTAGCCCATGAGCTTCCCAAGGATATTCAAAGTACATGAATAACGGAGGTGCAGTATTCAAAGTACAATCAACAAATGAAACAATAGAGCATTATGTTTGCATGTCTTATTACTTCTTTCTCCAGATACAGATTCTCTGGACAAGAATCTAAAACAAAACAAGACATATTATTCCAGATTAGGAAGTTTGGACAGTTGATATGCCTAACTTATGCAAGTAATTTTAGCATTTCTCTTTCACTCCACATACTACTATAATTAATAAAGCAATCTTAACAAACACCTCAATTACAAACGTAGGTCATCCAGGACATTGACATAGTCCTAAATGTGACATTTTGACTTGTGATTTGTAAGAACATATGTAATTTCAAAAAAAAAAAATATGCTATATTTTTTTTAAAAAAATGTAGGAGTGGAGAGAGCCCTGGCCTTTGGAGAAGTCTTAAATATTGCTACCTGCTTGAACCAAACTCACAACCTCATGGAGCAGCACTCTAACTTGCCTCCTGTGACCAGCCAGCCACATAACCTTCCCACAATGCAATGGTATTTTCAATAAATATCTAGGAGTAGTAATTCTATGTTCTAATAAAGTATCTAGAGTACTAATTCTATGTTCTCAATCTACACAATCATTGACATATTGATGGTTAAACTGAATATCTGACAAACAGAGGTTCTACAACAACTTGCATTTGAAACCAGAGGGAGCAGAGATCAAGGTCTGATATACAGTCTGTTATTGCCAAAAGCAGCAGCCTAGGAGAACTTCCAATGATGTCAAAAAAAAAGGAGAACTTCCAAACATATTCACGTGGACCCAGATGGCAAAACTTTGATAGCATTATACATGTGCACTCGAAACTATCCTTGATAGTTGTTAAATGTAGGAGGACTATATGGTTCATGTACGAGCTACCAAGCATTAGCCTGTCATTTTCATCCATGAATGCTAAATATTAAAAATATAGGAGTTACCAAATTGGAATAATACTCCTTCACTTCTGGCCTTATTGAGTCCATGTCCCCTTTAATTACATCTGGCTTGTACCTGCAAGAAGATAAGATACATTAAATTAAAACTGCCCTGAATCCTTCCAAACTGTACCAACAAACCAAACTGTATACATCTGATGCCAACTGATACAGGCATGGCAATTTGGTAAACCAACCAACCATGCTCCTTTAGTTGACAGAATATTCCCAGATACACAATATCTTCAGCTGACTAATACTGATTGGATTAACATTTTATTTCGAATCTGAGAAGAAATGCATAGAGGTTTCTCAAACTTATGGCAAACTACCAAAGCCAAAAGAGTGGCCCATAAAGACGTTCTGAGACACATATATAGCATGAGAAAACAAGCATAATTCTTAACATCACTAGAAATTTTCGTTGAACTGAAAGAGCAAGTTGCTTGTCTCCTACTCCTTATCAGAGGAAGGACGCACAAAAAAAAAGGCCATTCTATAGCAACATATAGCAACTACAGCACAATGGGGAGGGCGTCTTCAATTTTATCAAGAGTGAAAACAGCAACAGCTAAACCATTTATTCCAAAGAAGTGGCAAGGCAGATGCTGCACGCAATAAACATATTTGGGAATCAACGCAACTGGAAAACTGGATTAGGCAAGGCCCTTGGCGCCATGCGAGCAGCTACGTCGCTCTCGCGGCGCATCCGCGCACAAGGAGACAACTACAACAGGATACATCGTTGTTTCTGGAGCATTCGATCGAGCACACTACGAACAATCCAGTCGACCTGAATTTAAAGAAGGCGGTTCTTTAAATTCAGCATGTAAAGTTTTATGTGTCATATCGGGTGTCACACGAATTGTCGCATATGGTGTTTAGATATTAATAAAAAAATAAATTATAGAATTCGTCGGTAATTCGCGAGACGAATTTATTAAGCCTAATTAATCCGTTATTAGCACATATGTTACTATAGCATCACATTATCAAATCATGAGCTAATTAGACTTAAAAGATCCGTCTCATAAATTAGTTACAAACTATATAATTAATTATTATTTAGTCTATATTTAATACTATATATATATGTCTAAACATTTGATAGAACAGGAACATTAGGAAGCAGGCTCAAAAGTTTCTCCTTTTTCTTCGAGAACGACGAACGTGGAACGAGAAGTCAGAGTCCGCTTTTTCCTGCCCCGTCGCTTCGAACGCGGGTTACGTTTCGTTGGTCTGACGTGGCAGTGGTTTTTCCAATCAATTTTTGTTAATTTAAATGGGAGAAATGAGAGAGATTCTCAAACACTTCGAAGATTATCTCCAACGATGAGAACCCAAAATACAAGATGTATTTCACGTTTAGGTAGTGCTACGGACAAAGATTTTAATATCTATTTTTTTTTGTCTTCTCCAATAACAAAATAAAAAAAGAACTCTTTTAGCAAATGACGTCCGCTTCCGCCCGACGGCCGCCTCGCTGCGGGTCCTGTAGTCCGATTTGCGCGAGAGAGATCCTCCCGCTGCCGTGCATCCTCACGATTTAGTCTTGTGCACTTCTACTCTCTTCTTCTCCGTCGTCGGAGCACCGGCAAAATGAGTCTCAAAAGCTCTGCATAACAAGGTACTTCAGAGCTTTTAGTTTAAACAATGGAGATTGTCGACCGTAACTCTGATTAACCGGAACTATCGGAGATCCATTTTGTGTTTGGGTGTCCTTATTATAGGTCATCTATTGGAGACAGTATAAACTTTTATTTATGAGAAACAAACTGAAAATATTTGGGGGACAAGAGATATCACAAAATATATTACTTAGTCTGTTTTAGATCATAAGTCATTCTCAATCTGTTTTAGATTGTAAGTCATTCTAGCAAAAAAAAAAAGTTAAAATGACTTACTAAAATAGACTGAGTAATATATTTCAACTTGAAAAGTGAGAGTACATAGTTCTATATATCTAGCAATCCACAAACATGGGCAAAGCTAGCACCACTACATCCACAAACGTGAATAGCAGATAGCACCACTATAATAGCTGGAACGACTTGAATAGTGAGAGTACAAGAAATGAAAAGTTTTCGGATGCGTGCACACTACCTCCACAAATATGGGCAAAGCTAGTACCATGGAATCATTGTTAGTGTGATAGGAATTAGGAGGGAAGACATGTGATTGAATAAAATTCTATTCTAAATATTATCTATTGGAAACATGATTTCTTTTATTTTTTTATTACGTAGTTTCTATATGACTTGGCAAGTATATAAATCATCTCATAGTTTTTGGGTGGGGACTGTTCTAAGGGAATTGAAAGCGGGAATTTTACACTACTTTAGTTAGGAAGTAATTGAAAAGAGGGAATGATAGTTTGAAGGTAAAAGTTTATAAATA